TATATAAATTGTCCTTTCTTTCTATGCTATATAAATTGTCCCTTCTTTCTTTATATGCTATATAAATTGTCCCTTCTTTCCATGCTATATAAAGTGTCCTTTCTTTCTAAGTTATATAAATTGTCCTTTCTTTCTATGCTATATAAATTGTCCTTTCTTTCTATGCTATATAAATTGTCCTTTATCCATGATATATTAATTGTCCTTTCTTTCTATGCTATATAAATTGTCCTTTCTTTCCATGCTATATAAATTGTCCTCTCTTTGTATGCTCTATAAATTGTCCTTTCTTTCATGCTATATAAATTGTCCTTTCTTTCTATGCTATATAAATTGTTTTTTTTTTCCCATGATATATACGTTTTTCTTTCTCCTCATGCAGTATAACACTTATTATTAGCTATTTGGTTCTAGTTTACACTCACATCCTTAAATGAGTTGAGTACCGGGAATTCTAACCCGGTCAACAAATGTCCTGCAGAAGTCGGATGTGTTAACCGAAAGGTGCAAATATCGCAGCCATGCTGTAAACGGACACAACGCAAATAGCCTATATCTTCTGATGAACGCAAAAGAAGAAGAATGAGTTGTTGAGTTTCAAAAATGGACATCACAGCACTCGGGGCATTCCCATGCGTGCTCCATCCTCATCTTCGGCAGCCAGCGCAGAGTTCCAACACTGATGGTACCAGTCACAATCTAGTTACATCCTTGAATGGTGAGGCCAAAGATAAGATGGGTGCAGGATATGGCCGATGGTATCCATATGAGTGTATCAGAGGAGGACCTCTTGTGATGGAGAAGTTTTCCTGAGGCTTGTTATGGGAGCAAGGTTCTGCACAGAACATGCTACTGACTGACCCCAGCAGGTGGCACGTTGTTTATGGTTCACAGCTAGGCAGAGATATCTACCCAAAACATTCGATTTCAGCCAAACATTAATTTCCTATTATCTCGAGCTTTTCTTTTGGGGAGGGGGGGGGGCAATACGTCCACCCCCACCCCCAAATGGGATCTCAGGACCCACACGAAGAATCATTCAATCTAAACCATTTTTTGTATAATTATCATATCATTAGCATCGTCAACCGAGTGTCGATTAGTTTATAAAATATACATCTAGCACTATATGCCCACAATACTCTCAAAGACATAGGGGAAAAGTCCAAATGGGGCCTTGAAACACACATGGGGAATATAATTTCAAATACCGTACAATTTTTCAATTGAAATTGTTTTTCATGCTTGTTGGGGAGTTGGGGAGGCAGTAGGTCTTTTCTTGTTTTCATCACAATGGAGCCCTGGAACTCACACCGGGAGGGGTGGGGGGGGGGGGGGGTTAGGTTATAATTGTTATTATTACGCACCTTAACAGAGCGTTATAATTGTCTAGGGGAAGGGCTCAAAAGGATTGACTTGTGCAATAATAATAGTGAACATTATTATTACTGTGAAATTATTCAAGGCTCAACTGTTTCATTCACTAACCCATTGTCCTGGTGTCCCATTACATGTCACATAGGGCTCATATTCCAGCACCTTCGACTTCTCTCGACAACGATCGCCCTAGGGTTTGTCTTGGAACTTGTTTATTCGCGCAATAATAATATTAATAATACAAATTATTAATATTATTGCGCACATAAACAAGGATTTAGCCTCGCTTTACTGGCAAAATTGCGTAATAACAATAGTTTGTATTGTTGCGCAATTAAATAAGGCTATTTTTTGATGGAAATTAGAGACGGAGGTTCTGAAAAGACTGACAACGAATTATTGAAAAAAAATAGAGGGGGTTGAAATATTTTTGCCTCAAAAAAAAAAAAAAAAAACACACACACAAAATCTTTTAGAAACTATACTGGCAGGAAAGATTGAGAGCAAGCGGTAAACAACATTACAATTGGGAGGACAACGTCAAGAAAACGACGTTTTGGAGATCCACTGCAGCCAACCTTCATTGTGGAGACGGCACCTAATTGATTGATTGTAACCAACAACTAATGGAAACAATTAGTAGAAGTATCTTGAAGTGGCAGCTGAGCACACACAGGAATGCCCAATGTGTAGTGACGTCGACTGTAATAACAAAACATAACATTCAGTGTTCATCAGTTGTAAACTCCGACAGGAAATCCTGGTTATTCGTCTACCTCTGGACTTCAGTCTTGTTCAGAGCTTACGTGTTTTAGGGATCTTTGCTTGCATACTATGCAGAATGTTGTTGAAAGAAAAAAAAAATATAGGGACAGAAGAAAGTACATGTTGCCGTTGATATTAATTTGCATAAATTATGCGGGGACAGTTTACAGCCAGCCAATTAAACAAACGAAATTGTCACCAATCAAAACAACGGATTTTGCAGCAAAAAAACCAATGAAAACTCGCGCATTTCCAACCAATAAAAGGACACCTCTTTGTCTCGTTAAGTCTGCCAATGAAAAGCGAGTTTATAAAAATATAATCATGTCTGCTTACCCAGAATTCCCGGTATAATCCACGAATTGTGTTTGGGAGAAGAGGACGTGCATCCAATTTCTTGTACTGTTTGTGAAATTATCGACAAATCCTCGCTCTAAAACTAGGTATAGTATGTATTTCTTTTGGATAAATACACACAGATTCATATTGTACATGTATGTGTTGTTTTGCGAGAAAGAAATGTTCAAAATTTGAATATAAAATTCGCCTGACAGGCCACCTAAATGTCGCCATCCCTCCAAAATTGACCGCGAATGGTTAGAGACCTTTCCTTTCCGGCTCGCTTATTTTATTTTATGGCTTGATAATTCAGTTATTCTAACGTGGTTGGGTGGATTTGAAATGAATATTAAATACAGAATAATCGTGTACTTTTGAATGTTTAGTATTCGTTTTGAACAAGTATTTGTTTTGATTTCTAGTTCCAAAATTGGTGGGAATGTGGATCGATGGCATGTGGTTGAACTGACGTCAGGCAAGGATTTCATTATTGTGGGAAACATTCCCGCTATTTTTAGTCCCCAAACGGGGATAAACATAAACATAACTTACAACTTGACTATAAACATTTATTTTTTTTTTTAAAGTGAAGAAATTGTTTACAATAAAATGTAATTATAATATTCTTTGATCAGATTTGAATGCCACTTTAGAATGTTAGGTTAAATATAAAAACGGAACAGGATGTTTTTGACATGGATCCTGGACCAGTGGCTGTCTTTTTTGAAATTTAACCATGTTTGGTCTGTTGATATCTGCTAATAATCATTTAGGGTTATAGTCAGACCACATTAATTTCTTCCTAGAAACCAACCAGGAATAAAAAGAAATGTTTTTTTTTTTTATTCTGGAGGAAATTGGCAATAAAACCAAGTAGATAATTTCTGATTTTATGAAAGCATCAGACCAGAGCTATTCAGAGTTTACTCAGGGACCCCAATTTTGAAAATGATCATCAGAGCCGAGCCGCAACATTAAACGATAATTAATACAATACAACTGGCAATGAATTGCCCTGCACAAGACTGCCTTGCAGCATTTACTATAGGAAATTATGATTCATTTACACATTTTTTGTGGGCATTGTGCCTCCAAGAGAGCAGTTTATATTAGTATTAGTACATTTTTCAAATTGCCTTTTGAATTTTTTTGTTTATCCGCGGGGGAGGGGAGGGGGGGGGTTGTTGGCAAAGCCCATTACCTTTCTAACAATCATTTGTAGGATACAACAATAAATCACGGGTACATATTTTGAAGTTGGAATGCATTTGCCCGAGACATGAGGAACCTACAGTCTGCATACTAGTAAAACATGTACATGCTCCAAGAACAATACTAAAAGTAGTTGAACAATCAAATTTTTTTCCACCAGTTCACAGCTTGTGAATAATAAGAAAAACAATCAGAACTGACTATAACATTGTGATAACTTGATTATGATGGGAGAAGTTTGATTGGAATAGGCAAAGTTTGTGTTAGAACACGGGTTGCTGCTGACATTGGCTTTGTGCCAGGGCCTGAGTTTTGAATGTACATCAGTTTTACTATCTTCATATGCAGTTGGCTGTTGCTTGCACTTAAGTCTGGTTCCAGAACCTGAGTGTTGCATGCACACCTGTTTAACAGATCAGGTTTATGAATGCAGACTGCTGGTTCCTTGTCTCTCAGGCAGATGCACTCTGAAGAAAGCTTCTAGACCTCTGGACCTGTGACATGCTTGTTGGAGAGGCACCTAGGTAGACAAAACCTCTGAGGCAGATTACCATTTTAGGCCGTTAACAGTGGATTTCATTTCTTAATAATTCTCTAACTTGGGGATTATATTTTAAGTTGTATTGGTTGACTTGTATTTTATGTCTTTTGTGATAGTGTTTTGTCTTTTGAGTCATATTGATTTATTGTCAACCAAAAGCTGCATTTGGAAAATGGAAAAATCCTATCATCAGATGAAGAAAATGTCACCTGACAGGTGCCAATCAAGAAGGAACAACATGTCAAAACAGAAGCTAAGCATTTCACAACTTGAAAATAACATCACGGAAATGAAGATCCTCGCCCTTGCAATAAATCGCGACGCTTAGCGACACAAGCAGATTTTGACAAAAGAAGAAGAATAAATCGCTCTTATTTAATGTCAGAAAGAGGTTGCCAAAATGTTACGTAGAACCTGTTCTTTTGTATGTCAGCGAATTGCCTACGCTAGTTGTCAGAGCACATAATGATGATGATTGTGGGGAAAACAAGACATGTTTTGAAAGTCGCCTAATTAGTGTGACTTTCTTTAAAGTCTGAGTACATTTACCGGATAGGCGAGGAACCAAAAAGTGGTTACAGATAAGTCAGGATCTGTAAAATGCATGTGCTTGCAACATTCAGGTTGTGAAACAACACTGAAGTCCATAGGTGGACGTCTAAAGGTTTCCTCTAGAGTTTACTGCCAATGCAATGCAAAGAGTTATTGAAGCTGCCTCTTTTAAATAAACACTTTTGTTTTTTTTTAAATTTGAACAGACTGAACAATGGCAAGAACAAAGCAGACTGCTCGTAAATCTACTGGTGGCAAGGCCCCAAGGAAACAGCTGGCAACCAAAGCTGCCAGGAAGAGCGCCCCATCTACCGGCGGTGTCAAGAAGCCCCATCGTTACAGGCCAGGTACTGTGGCCCTGAGAGAAATCCGTCGTTACCAGAAGTCAACCGAGCTGCTGATCAGGAAGTTGCCCTTTCAACGACTTGTGAGAGAAATTGCTCAAGACTTCAAAACTGATCTTCGCTTTCAGAGTGCAGCCATTGGAGCCTTACAGGTGAGTTCCAGAATTTACATAAAGTTAACAAAATGAGTGCTGTTGCTTCTTAGTGTTCACAGGCTGTCAAGTCAGACAGGAACTTCTGATTGTTTGTCCACTTCTGAAATTTTCTTATAAAGATTTTTAGACTATGAGGTTATTTGGTCCTGTTCACGTTTTCAGGCCCATCTACACGCTACCTGACCTTTTGTTAATACTTTCTCACCCTTCTACGCCGGATGGGTTTCATGGTGTCTTCCCTCCAATAACATTAGCGCTGATGTCGCATGTTCTATTATACTGCATGATGACAGCTTTCAACGGCTCCAGAACATGTAGAACTGGCCCTAACCCAGCCCCAGCCTAGGTCACACGGGACTTTTGATAGAAATCAGCACAATGAGACACCCCACTGACCTATATCAGACTGAGAAAGTGCCGAGAATGTTGACAGATCCTTTTATCCTTTGACAACTGCCTTTTTTTTTTTTCCTGGGTCAAGTGTTGTATTAAGTGTATCAAACATACCTTTTTTGCCTCCATGCTTTCTGTTGCAGTTTTTTTTCTCTTATAATTTTGTCTTTTATTTTATGCTCTTGTTTACATGTTTGCAGGTTCCATTTGATTTCTTGTGCTCTGGTTGGTTCCAAAGAAAGGGACCTTTTGCAGACTTCTAAATCATTTCACCCTGGACACAAGCTAGTTTGTTAACAAGCACACACCCAACTGCTATATATTAGTAAATCTATGTCCGGGCCTCTGAACACTGCACAGGCGCAAACTCAACACCGCTGACAAACCTCGGGGAAAGCTGCATTTATAGGATTAGTACCCTTCATCGAAATTCTTGGTTTACAGCTTGTCTGTGTGGGGCGACAAATTCAACTGTGCTAAAATTTGTTAAGCTTGAATAAGGAGCTGCTTGGCTGGCCTCACCTAAAAAGAATTGACAAAAGAGGTCTGAGTTATCTTGCCTGGAAACTTGACAATTTAATGGTGCCTCATTCAGTCGGCTACCTTCAGTAGAAACTCTTGAGTGTACCTTGGCACTGGCACTTCATTTATGGTCTGGTTAAAACACAGGATTTCACACCTTTGACTTGTTATTTTAGTCTCTTGGAAAAACTAGGAGGATCTGCGTCCATATGTTGTGGTTCTTAGTGACCACACAGTGGGTGTCACCTGGTCAAACACAGGCATTACATTTTTGTGTCCTTCGTTTCCTTATATTCATTGGCAGTAAAAAAAGAAGCAGCTGTTGCTTTTTAAAAACACCTCCAGATAAACTTGCGGCATGTATGTTATGGGGCAGTGGATTCATTCTCCCAGTCACACACAGTGGGACTTCTGGAATCCATTATAGTCTGTTAAAAAGGACGGATACGTAACAGAAGCCACCCTCAGAGACGTCTATTATTTATTTGTATAAATGGTTACCAGGTAATGTCTGGGAAGCAAAGGTGGCAGTGTTATCAACTGACCACGGAGCATTTTAGTCTGTTTTGGTGCTGGCTGTAATCAGGATCTTTCACTTGCTAATAAATACATCATCTATTTGGATACGGCGGTATCTGAAAAGATAGAGGTATGTCTGTTCTGTTAGAGTTCTGTAGACATTTTCTGCCCCACTCACATCAACTGAAGTATTGTTGACATTGTAAGATATAATTTATGTCAGACCTGACTGCAGGAGAAATAAAATTGTGTGCCCTGTACCGTAAAAGTACACAAATTTTAAAAACTCAAAACAGGCTTACTCAGAAAGCAATTTTGTTGTAACTGCTAAGTGACAATTTCAACAGGGGCTGAAATTTTGTTTTTGTTGTTGAAAAAGCCCTTAATAGATCAGTGTTGATTAGATTGTGCTAAAATTGTATTCTTGTATTTCAGGAGGCCAGCGAGGCTTACCTGGTAGGTCTGTTTGAGGACACCAACCTGTGTGCTATCCACGCCAAACGTGTCACAATCATGCCCAAAGACATCCAGTTAGCTAGACGAATCAGAGGAGAGCGTGCCTAAGTTTTTCTACACAATCTTCGACCGGAATAACCTACGACAAAACACTGAATAATTTACAGCCTGTGTTTGAAATCAATAGAAACCATGTGAAATGAAATTAGCAGGTGTAAAAAGTTGTATATTGTATCATGTTTAAAAAAAATTATTGGTTGCAGTAGCATTTTAAAATCAAAAATAAATTGTCTGGCAGAGAAAGGATAAAACAGCCGTCTGTCATGTTTACAAGGGTAGGAGATGATGGTTAAGGATCCACCCAGCCAATCCTCATTCTGCATCTGCTTATTTTGGAAAATCAGCAAAGATATTTTAATGGGGATAAGAAATTGTTTCCATCAGGCGGTGTACTAAAGTAAACAACACGAATACTCTGTCAAGATTCTTTGTCAGTGCTGCTGATTGGCAGCATTTACGTAGGTTGTAAATTATTCCAGAGACAGACTTTTACTGAGTGCAGCAGCATCACTTTTTATTCATAATATTTGATCATGTCATTGGACTCCCTTCAGTGTTGTGTGTTTCTGTTCTGTCTGCCACTTCTTCACAAGCCATCCGGTTTACTTTTCTTTATGTGAATTTTGTGTTCTCTAGATATTTAGCCATCATTACTCATTGGCCATAACTATAGTTTGATGTTATCGTTTCATTGTTCTGTTTCCTTTGGGTTAGGGGGTTGCAAAATTCATTCTCAATTCTTGTCAACAAATTTAATTAGAGCTGTGTTTATGGTAATAAATGTTTTAGTAAGATTTTGGCACTTGTTTGTTCATGTTTGTTGTTTTGTAATGCCTAGTAAAGTGAGGGAACCTTTTGCCATGCTTTTATGCATAGAGCTATGCCTATATTTTATAGACCAATTGGTGGCTGATGTTAACATTATTCCAGCCGCCTTTACTTCCTATTCCTGGGATTTGACCTTTAGGGCAGGGTTAAATTTAAAAAAAAAATTAAGAAACCCAAACGATTTTCTGATCCACTTGCAAGCATCCAATTGCTACACTATGGTGGCTTTAGTCCCCAGCCTGGCACACGGGGGGGGGGGGGGGTGTGTTTAGGTTCAAATTGGCACCAGGTTGGATTTTAAACAGCCCGGATGTGTGTCACATGGACTGCTGATTGGTGTATAATTTATATGCAATACACAGTGACACAAGACATGACAGGTTGTGGTGATCTTTCTTTCCCGCTCTGCAGATGTTGGTCACTGCAGCTAATCCTTCCTAAAATTGGTTATGCCTCTGTGTAACTTAGACAAGTCCATTTTTCGAAGTGCTATCTTAACAGTTGAATTGCCCTTTTGTGGGGATGTAGGCCCCGTGTTGAAAACGCTGCCAGAACTTCAAAAATTCAAAAATCAGGCGATGTGAAAAAAAAAAAAAGCCTGAACTCCCTTTGAATCCTTGGCTTACACAGTAAATTTCCCTTCACCTAGAGCTATTCTGCTTTTAGCATGAAATCAAATCTATTTCTATTTATATCCCAAAAGTTTGTTTGACAGATCAGCATGACCCAGAGGGAGCCATAAGTGCTTCGTTCTACTTCCAATTTAAGCTTGAGTATGAACAATCTCAGCACAATGCGGGAAATCTGTTGCATCGGCAAAGATTCTGAACTACACTAGGTAGATTGTCATCTGTAAAAAGTATTCTTGTCGTTTTAAAATTTTGTTGTCCTTGCCGAGGTTTTTTTTTTATGTGCAAAAATCTTGCTGACCAGAGGAAATTACTACAAGGTCCATGTGGGAAAAAAATTCCTTCACCAGGGCTTGAACCTGGGACTTCCAGTACTTGAGGATGACACCATACCTCGAGGCACCCCAGACACACACATCCCCCCTCCCCAAATATTTTGCCAGTTATATGTTTTACCGATCTGCACTACATGTATCCTTGGCTGATAAAGGAGTGACTAAAGCTACCAAAAAATTGTCACTATTTGCCTCAACCATTGCAATCTATCAGCTGGATCTTCAGCATTCTGAACCTTGAGGTTCATTGCTGCAGAAATCACCTGCCTTCATTCATCTTTCTGGTTGGCCTTCTCTTTCCAGTTGGTAACATTGTTTGGTCTGTCTATATCTTCTTCTTTCGTTTGCCTGAAATAAGTTGTCTATACCAGCAGTTTTGTCTCTTGTGGTTCCACTTAGTTTTCTTAGTATTCTTAATGCTTACGGGCACCTCTTGATATTGATTCTCCTGCTGCCTTTAGTCCGCATTTGTTAAGTTCTTTAACTACTTTGTTTATATCCTGGTCTATGCTGAGACTTCCAAGCAGTATACTAGTATGGCAGCGTACTAGTTTCTCTGATCTTCTAATTTTCTACATTCAGGAAGACCGGTCGATGGTCACTGCCTCCCAGTTGATTTCCAACAACTCGTGTAATTTTCCATTCCAGATCTGGAGAGTGAAATGCTAGGTCTGGGGTAGTAGTGGTGTGCCACGATCTCGAGTAGAATGTGGGTGAATCAGTTTGACCTATTAATCAGAACAAGTCTGTTCTCATCCTGCCACTCCTTCAGTTTCTCTCTTCTCTGGTCTATATGGTCATACCCCCAGCTTTGTGAGTGGCTGTTAGTCTCCACATAGAATCATCTTTTCTTCTACTGGGATTGTGTCTAAAGCCTAGGGACGATCACTTGGGCAGTAATAATTCAGCAGGTAGAAGTCTGCATTTCCAGTTTGTAGTTTCAGAATCTGATATTCTGCTCCATCCATATATATACTTCAGCAGTCTGGCACGCAGTGATATTGTTCCTCACAAGAGTCAGTATTCCACCCTTTTTCCTTTCCGATCTGATCGGAAGCACTGATAACCTCTGATTTTGAAGACTGTCTTCAGTGAGGTGGGTTTCTTGTAGACAGCATATATGAATCTGTTCCATTTAAAATATTTTCTAACTAGCTTTTTATTTGTAATCTCCTCTCCATTCCAGTGCATTAATTTGGCTCCTTTCTTAGTTCGTCCAGATGCTCTATTCTCACGTCCCCTGGCTCCAGGACATTTGAGAAAGGACCTCTAGTAATTTGGGTTGGGCCTCTGCCTGTCTATATTATCTCCATCTTAGTCTACGAACATTCAGCTCCCTTGTTTATATAGTTTTGACCTCTGGCAGTCTCACTATCATCATGTAGCAGGTCCTTTGCAGAACGTCGCTCTCATGTCTGCCAGAAATAAACTCGGGTCTCTCGGAGTCCCATCTTCCTTGATGTTCAGATCTTTCAGGATGTAATTTCTCCTCTTCTTTGTCCAAGATATTCTGAGAATCTTTCTATAGCATTTCAGCTTAAAAGCCTCTATTCTCTATCTTAAGGACGGAGTCTCAGATATTCCAGTCTAATAGCCTCATGATGCCAGTCATCAGTGGTTTTGTGGTTTAAAAATATTTTGAATTTTTTTTAGTCTCCACTCACTCCGCTGTTTGCATCTTTGAGTCTAAAGATTCGTCTCAAGGCTTGTTAAAAAGGGTTAAGTTGTGCTTAGTTTCAGAGCCATATGAAATGACTGGTCTTTCATCTTGATATTGCGAGGTAGGAGACTTTGACTTTAGCAGATGTTAAAAGGCATAGTACACTTTATATCCAGACTATACTAGATAGTAATTCTTCTCACCATGTTAAAGCAGTTGAAGTTTGCACCCAAGTACTTATAAATTTCTGTTCGTTTGATATTTATAACGACTTGTGTGTGGCTGGAGATTATATCCTTTCTGTGTCTTATGTATTCTGTCTTATCTTGAGTAGTCCCATTTAGTAAGCTGCTGCTTTTAAGTTTTTACTGTCTTGAGGGCCAAATTGAAAAGAAGTGAGGACAGAGCATCACCTTGTTTTAAACCAGATGTCTGAAAAGTCTTGACTTTCTGCCTTTGTATGTCACAATATTATGTCTTCCATACAAAGTTTGGTCGTTATGATTAACTTCTTTGGTATTCCTAAGTCCTTTAAAGCATTCCCTAAAGTGTTTATGTACGATTTCACATGCCTTTAAAAAATCCACAAAAACATTATGTACATCTCCTTCTACATTCCTAGTTTTGCTCTGCTCTTAGCGATAATATTATTTAATCTATTGTTGATCTGTTCTGTCGGAAACTTACCAGTAATTAATGGTGAATTAGCCAGATAATGAATTTGGTTTTAGCTAGAGCAGTGGTTCTCAACCTTTTGGGGGTCTAATGTCCTTGGGGTCGCCTAAGGTCATCAGAAAACATTCACTCACTAAAGTTATGAAGTAGCCAAGAAAATATAGTTGAGGAACTATTAAAGGGTTGCAGCATTAGGAAGCTGAGAATCACTGATCTAAAGCTTTTTCATACTCCACTTCCTTACTCCGTTTGTTTTATCTGCATTTTTGTTTTGTTTCACCAAAGAGACCATCTTGTGTACTAATCTCTAAATCTGTCTTTTCCTCACTCCTTCCCAGAAAAGTCCTGGAGGCATTGAAATTTATAATCTGGTTTCTCCAGGGCCCCAGGGGGGGGGCAAGAACAGACACACTCCCTCCCCAACAAGTGTAAGAGTTGACTAGATGAAGACTCTTTCGAGAGGCAAGGAACTAGCAGTCTGCATACAGATAAGCCATGTGTGTAAAACGGATATACACGTTTATGTTACAGAATAAGACCAAAGTTCACAGCTGGATAAACAACCGGAGGTTACAGCCAGTAAACACACACATACACAAATGAATAATTTGCCAAAACTTGCTGTCACCATAGGTTTTTTTCTTAAAAACTAGGAATTAAAAAAGTTGCAGAAAGAAATTAAAAACTGAAATATTTTGAAACATTATAAGGCAACATGTTAAACACCATAGTAAAGGGAGAAAGGCAAGAGGTAGAAGCAATACAAGTGGGATGGAAATATTTAGACGAAGAACACAGTAAAACAGCATTTTTAAACAGCCATTGCAACTAACCTTTTAATGTGGTGAGTCCACCTGACTGATGCTTTCCTCTTTGTTTTTTTTTTCCAAGCTTTTTCCCCCTCCTTATTTTTGCAGTAAG